CGAAGGATCTTTCTTGCCAAAGTGAGCCCATTCATGTGAGTACCACAAACTCCGGCATGTACTGATTCCAGAAGCTTTGCAGCTTCACTAGAATCAACACATCTGAGAAGACCTAAATCTGGAGTCCTCCTAAAAAGGATTTCCCCACTTGCAAAGAAATTGAGGGCCATACGGCGTATCGACTTCTTCTGGTTGAACGTTGCATTCTCAGGATAACTCCCGTCCTCTAAATACTTCTTGATGTCAAAATACCAAGGCAGATCATCTGGTTCCGCTTCAACATGCGAACAATGGACAGGCTGCTCTTTTACCTTTATATCCACTGGATCAATATAACTTGTATATGGATGTTTAATCATTGAGGCGATGGTGGCAAGAGCATCAGCCAACTCATTTTGTGTCCTGGGAGTGTATCTGAACTCAATCTTGCGAAATCTTTTGCACAACTTCTGTATATACTGCACGTACGGTGTGATCTTTGGGTTCTTTACGGCCCATTCTTCTTGAACTTGATGAATCAGCAAATCTGAATCTCCAATAACCAGCAGTTCGTGAACATTCATATCAATTGCCATCTTCAGACTGAGGATGCAAGCTTCATACTAAGCCATGTTGTTCGTGCATTCAAATCGGAGTTTAGCCGCCATAGGATAGTGCTGACCGGTTTCTGACATTAAGACCGCTCCGATTCCTTTCCCTTGATGATTCGCCGCTCCATCAAAGAACACTCTCCAACCAGGGTACGCTTCAGAAATATCCTCACCCACAAATGCTATTTCTTCATCGGGAAATAAGTCTTGAGCGGTTCATACTCTTCATCAACTGGATTCTCTGCAAGATGATCAGCCAAGGCTTGTGCCTTTATCGCCTTCTGAGTCACATACACAATGTCAAATTCACTCAAAAGCATTTGCCATTTAGCCAACTTCCCGGTCGACATTGCTTTCTGGAAAATATACTTCAACGGGTCCATCCTGGAAATAAGGTATGTGGTATAAGAAGACAAATAATGTCTCAACTTTTGACCAATCCAAGTCAAAGCATAACATGTTCTCTCCAAAATAGTGTAACGAGCCTTATATGGAGTGAACTTTCTGCTCAAGTAATAAATGGCTCGCTCCTTCTTCCCAGTCTCATCATGTTGACCAAGCACGCATCCCAATGCGTTATCCGAGACTGACAAATATAGCAATAATCAAATCCCTTCTCGTGGAGGGACCAACACCGGTGGATTGGACAAATAGTTCTTGATGGCATCAAAAGCAGTTTGACATTCTCCGGTCCACTTGGTAGAGACATCTTTTTCAATAACTTAAAGATGGGCTCACACACCACAGTGGATTGAGCTATGAACCGACTGATGTAGTTCAACCTTCCAAAAAACTCATCACCTCTTTCTTGGTCTTCGAAGGAGGTAATTCTTGGATCGCCTTGATCTTGGAAGGGTCAAGCTCAATGCCCCTCTGCTGACTATAAAATCCCCAACAACTTGCCAGCTGGCACTCCAAAAGCACATTTGGCAGGATTTAACTTCAAATTGTATCGGCGTAGACGATCAAAGAATTTCCTCAAGTGAGTCAAGTGATCCGAACTCTCGCGGGACTTGATTATGACATCATCCACATACACCTCGATCTCATTGTGAATCATATCGTGAAAGATGGTCGTCATAGCCCTCATGTAAGTTGCACCAGCATACTTAAGACCAAAAGGCATCACTCGATAATGATATACACCCCAGGGCGTGATGAAAGCGATCTTTTCTGCATCTTCTTCATCCATCAGGATCTGGTGATAACCCGCATAACAATCCACAAATGACTGCATCTCATGCTTAGCATATTTATCAATGAGGATGTGAATATTTGGCAATGGAAAATTATCTTTCGGGCTAGCTTTGTTGAGATCTCTGTAGTCAACACAAATTCTGATTTTTCCGTCTTTCTTGGCAACCGAAACAACATTAGCTAACCAAGTCGGATACTGCATCACTTCCACTACTTGGGACTCGATCTACTTTGTAATCTCCTATTTGATCTTTAAACTCAACTCAGGCTTGAACTTCTGAGTCTTTTGTTTTACTGGACTGAAATCTTGATTGATTGGCAACTTGTGAGACACCATATTCGTACTCAGACCTGGCATATCTCTGTAAGATCAGGTAAATACATCAATGTATTCTCTAAGAAAACGAACTAGGTCCCTTCTTTGAGTTTCGGTCAAATGGACACTAATTCTGACTTCTCTGACACACTCTTCATCTCCGAGATTCACAGTCTCGGTTTCTTCCAAACTCGGCTTGTGTTGATTCTCAAATTGTCAAAATTCTTCGGCAACATGTTCGGGTACCTCATTTTCTTCTCCGTATTCCTCGCATTCATCATCACCTGCCTCATTTTGTTCACCCGGTTCATGACATGACATGGCATTGGCAGGTTTTAAATTATTATTACTGAAATCATAAATAGACAAAGTTAGAAAAGTAAAATATAAACAGATAAATAAACAATTTTTTGATAAAAAGGCTTTCATTTAAATTGAAAAACAAGCACAAAGTCTAGCCATGGCCGAGGGCCATTTTGCTTTTTTAAACACTACAAGGGAATTTAAAAAACTTCAACCACATAAACTGCATAAAGGGTGGGTCTCGGGCCTCTTCTGGACTGCCACTGATTTTAAAATGAACAAAGACACATGTCTTTTCTACCCAGATGAGCGGGAAATCAGGAGTGGTGTGGAGGTCCAGTTCTGCAATTTCTCCTCAAGTTCTGCATCATGGATGCCTGATGTCCCTGCCTCTTCCTCGATCACTGCATCAATCTCCTCAAAAAGGCCGCAGATTCCTTCCCCGAGACCACCATCGTTGGCGTGCTCCCACACCGGGAACGACTAGTACAGATGAGGAATTGGCCTAGCCAATTCTTGATCAACACTCTTGTGTTTCATCTCTGCTTCGTCAGCATATGTAACGACCCTAAAAACGAACTAGTGAAACTAGAGCCTCACATGTGAGTTTGGAGTTGAGAACTTGATGAAATGATGAGAAATGACAGTGACGTCCGGAAACTAGTCGTTTGAACTAGTGAGTTGTAAGGGTCTTGTCGTTGAAGTTTGGAGTGTTGTTTAAGGGCTTAAGGGGTTGATTAGCTAGTTGATTAATCACCGTTATAAGCTAGCAAGACCTTAAGCTAGGTCATGAAATCCTTTAGAACCGAGACCCTCAAAACAGTCCCCTAAAAACAGTTTTTAGTTTTAAGTTAGAAGTGAGGGTCAACTTTAAATGGTCATATCTTTTAGCCCAAAACGAATTAGGTGGGCAATTACCTATCCAATTAAAGGTCTCTGAGTCCTCTTTCCAACGCCACCGAGTTTCCCCAATTCCGACCTTGGAGTAAAAAGTTATGCCCGAAATATGAAGAACTGTCAGGCTGCAAAGGGCGAACTAAGACGGGAAGGGCCACAATTTTTTAAGTCAAGAATTTATGGGTCCTTAGTCCTTTTCCAAAATTGACCCTATGCTATTATTTTCCTTTCCTAGCAACTATAAGACATTTTTATG